CTATTTTTAGTAGGACAGGGTTTCACTCTTGCTCATGCTGGTCTCGAACTCCTGAGCCCAAACGATCAACCTGCTTTGGCCTCCCAGAGTGCTAGGATTACAGGCGTGAGCCACTGCACCCGGCCTACACCCTAATACTCTAAAGTATTAGCCCTTTGTAAAACTCTAACATGACTAACTACTATGAGAAATAAGGCAGGTTGCTTTAATAAACATTTCATTTAACCAAATGTAAAATACATGTTATTATAGGGAATTAGATTTGTTCTTTCTCTGTGTACACCCTGTTCTTCATTAGATGAATCAAATTTAAATACTACATTGAAAATTTAAGAATAGTTCCAGAAGCTTTCTGCTAAATAAATGCAGCTTCAATTTTAAGCACAATATTGCATAAAGAAAACAACAATAATGGGTGTGGATGCCTGAAAAAATGCTGTATAGAGGACCTTACTCATTACTTCAATATTATCCAGAGAAGTAAGTTATATTATTTTCTGATAAATTTGATTGTCTTAAAAAAAGTCAGATTGTAGTTCCTTTTCTACCTATATAGACTAGGAGTAATCTGCCCTTATGAACCATAGCTATTTATTTATTGAGTGGCTACTCTATAACAAACACTGGAAAATATATAAAAGTATAGAATATAAAACTTATTTTCCAGAAATTTACAGTCTATATTGGGAGAAAAAGTAGATGCACATAAAAATAGTAGTCCAGCTAGTATGAGTCTCAAATGAGGATACAAAGGAGGGCACACGTTGCCTTGGCGCCAGGCTGATCAGGGAAGCTCCACAGAATATATAGGATTTGATCTGGGCCTTGGAGCTCAACCTAGGTTTAAAAATGATATAATCAGTGGCTGTCTTGAGTAAAATATTCTCCCTCAGCCATAGTACCCATGGTGCTTTTCTCAAAAGAAACATTTTCTTGTGACTCTTGCATATCTGAGATCTGAAGTCCAAATCTGTTAGGCCTTACTAAAAGTATTAGTCATGCTATAAGGAATGTGATCATTTTTAGATGATAACTTAGCTAATGCTGTGGGGAGCTTGGTCTATTTACCTGGCAAAACACTTGGGGATGTTTTCCCCCTCCTGCTTTGGCCAAGTACATTTCTAGTTGAAAACAATGACATGAAGCTATTCAGCAACATCTCCCCACACTCCTTTAATTATGTGGCCACTATGCCCTCAGGGGCCATGCTCTTCACACACAGGGCTTAATAGATGTAGCTGGCAGACGGATTAACTGAAAGAACTGTTTGGCAAATCTCTCTAGCTCATCTTTTTCTAGGCTACAAATAGAGAAAGTACTCAACAGTGAAGGAAGAAAAATAAAAAAGAAGTCTGGGATTTGATTACCAGTTGGCTTAGCAGTAATAGCAGCAGCAGAGTTTTTTGTTTATTAATCAACCTAACCTACTTAGAGGCTAAAGTAAAAAGAAGAGGTCTCTAATAGTAGACCAGAGAATAATTTTCAAAAGGTTACAAACATGACTTCGATACAGATATAAAGTGAACATGTGACCAAACATTTTAATCAACTCTTTAGTTAATGAGGGAATGGTAAAAGAGTAGGTTCAAGGGAGAATTTGAGGAGGTAGATATTTATAATAATTTAATAAAGAAATGTTAGGATAAGATTACTAGGTTATATATAAAACTAATGTTCTATAGGACCATAAACCACAACCTTTAGGTTATCTTTCCCACTGGACAGAAGTTATTCTCATCTCTAACTGGACAAGAATCTACAAGTTAACCTCTGTTCCTAGTTGTCAGATATCCCAGTCAGTAAACAGTCAATCAAAGAAACAAGACTGGCAGAGTACTGAAAGAACACCCAGTAATCTTGTGCCTATTTCCAAGTTTTGAATGATTTTTCTGACACTCAGAAAAGGCTCTCAAAAGGTAATGGCAAAGGTCCAACATCATATTAGAATAGTATGCAGATCTTTATGATGCAGATGACACTGTACCAGCTATAAAAGAACATTATTAGAAGAGATTTCATTCTGTATAGTTTGAGGAAATACTACTTGATTTATGTAATGACCAGACTCAAAGAAGAACACACAAAATATTTCACATGGCAGCCTCAATCTAGAACCCAGTTGAGAACCAATCTAGATATGAATTTAAAGGGTATCTTAAGTCCAGTTTTAGATTTTATCTTAAAATATTAATAATTTTATTCATCTGGAGAATGGTAGATACAGTTATATAGCAGCAGAGAGATGTCATTATAAAGGAATATATAATGTATAAGCATCTACAGCCATTTAGTTATAGTATATAGCCTTATAAACCAATGACCTTATCACCATTTTATAGTAGAATCTTATCATCTTTATATACTCGCATCAGTTATCAAAAATCCTAAATTATTTTTCAATAAATTCTACTTTTATTTATTTTTTTCTTTTTTTTAATATATATATTTTTTTATAAGCCAGTCAAATTTAGCAGTGAAGGGTTGAATACCAACTTTAGTGACACTAATGTTAATAAGTTCTGATAACCCACTGCCATCAGACCAGCCTAAATTCTACTTTTAAAAGAATTCAAATACATAATTCAAAAGTACTTCTATCAAAAATACTTCAAAATTTAAAAGCATTGGCTTTTAAAGAACAATCAACCCCTTGTACGTGGAGGATATATTATTGGGCCCTGATTTATACTAATAGAAATGTGATATTATTCCTGCTTTCAAAAAGCTTATAATAGGGGTGATATCTCTGTAAACATATTTAATATAAGAAAGTCTGAATGAAGTGGTAAATGTCCACGTGGAACACAGAGGATGATTAAGTCAGGGAAGACTTCATGGAGAAAGAGACATTTGAATTGGGATTTAAAAGATTTAATGTTCAATTGACTGGAAAATTCTCTGAAAGGAATGACTGTGGATAAATGAAGGGTTGCTATATTGTTCTTTGCTCAAAATGATTCCAATTATGTAGAAAAATATATGTCATACTATATACAAAGTGATAGAATGAGATAAAAATATTAAGAAAAAAAGACCAAAGTTGTAGACAATTCACAAAAGAAATAGAAAAGGCCAATGGACATTCAAAATTATATTTGATCTTGCTAATAACCAAAGAAATGCAAAGTAAAATGAGATAACATTTTGCACAGAGCAGCATGACAAAGATTTAAAGAGAGGGATAATACTTGTGGTTTATAAGTGCATAAAGAAACTAATGCTCTCATATACAGTGTAGGAATATAAATTGGTACAACCTTTTAGAAATGCATTTCCAATGCTAAGTATTTATCTTATGAAAATAATCAGTTTTCCAAAGATTATCTATATAAAGCTCATCAAAACAGCAATTTTTAAAAAGAAAAAGCAAAGAAAGAAATATTTAACAATCGAGGATTAGTTAAATAAATTATGGATCCATGCAATAGTATGTGGCCTTAAAAATCATAATCAAATAAAAATTTAATGGAATGAAAAAATTATTAAGAAAAAAGCATATTACCAAAGTCTGTCAGTCAGTATGATCCAAGTTTTTTTTTTTTTTTTTTTTTGAGACAGAGTCTCGCTTTGTTGCCTAGGCTAGAGTGAGTGCCGTGGCGTCAGCCTAGCTCACAGCAACCTCAATCTCCGGGGCTCAGTGATCCTACTGCCTTAGCCTCCCGAGTAGCTGGGACTACAGGCATGCGCCACCATGCCCGGCTAATTTTTTCTATATATACTAGTTGGCCAATTAATTTCTTTCTATTTATAGTAGAGACAGGGTCTCGCTCTCGCTCAGGCTGGTTTCGAACTCCTAACCTTGAGCAATCCGCCCGCCTCGGCCTCCCAAAGTGCTAGGATTACAGGCGTGAGCCACCACGCCCGGCCCAAATAAAAGTTTTGAATGTTAAGTCAAAAGATATGAGGGGATATATAATTTTCTAAATTTCTTTTAGGGATTGAGTAGTATGTCAATGATCCTAATCCTGTCCCTTTCTTTTATATAAAAGAGATCTAATGACTTGCATACAGTCACACAGACCTAGTTGATTGTAGTATATCAGTAAGAACCTAAGACTCTTGACATCCCAAATTTCCATCTAATCACAGATTGTATTGTCCATAAATTTTATATATTTTGATTTTCAATGCACTACTCACATATGGTCTTATTATGTATGAATACTTTTTATAGTCAAGAACCCATAAGTAATAGCCTATAATTTATCTCTGGCACAAGTTGGATTTTTATAAAACAGATTTAGTATTTTGTTTCAAGTAAGATTAAATGTATTACCCTATAAATGATAATTACAGTAATATGAACTTACAAACATACATGAGACCTTAAAGGTCATCTAGTCAAAAATAACAGAATACAGTAAGGCACAGTGAATTACTCCCAAATAGCCTTCAGGAAATTCTCAATCATATTTTAAATGTTAAAGACATGAATTATGTGACTATGCATAAATATTTCTTAGTCTTTTAAAAAGGATCCTTTAAGAAACTTCAAAATAAATGAATGGAATCCAATAATTTAAAACTCAAGTGCTGTTATTTCTACAAGATCTTGGATTATATGTTCATTTGTTCATTGGAAGAAAAATCACATTTTCATTTCTTATATTTTATTTATATTAGAATGAGCACTTCAATATTAATTCAAATATCTATCTATTAAATGCAAAAATGTTAATGTAATATTAAAAATGAAATTTAAATGAAAGCAAGGGAATATCACATTAAGGTTCCCATGGCAACTCTCACTACACTTTTCAGCTTCTGAATTGTAACATGGTCATTTATTATAGGCTCATATAAAATACAATTTTGCAAATATTTAAAGATGTATAGGTTAATTCGTGTCAATTTAAACCTTCAGATGCAATGTAATATAATACACTAGGCTAAGAATACCCTAAATATTAACCCATATTCATAATTTAGATATATCTACATAAAACAGATGCAAACTTCCTAAATTTTGAATGATTTGTTAGCATTCATATGAATCATACCATTTTGCAGTTCCCATCACAGCTGAAATCTGAGCCTTATGTTACTGAAATAGAAATAAGTATGGTCAAGAGACTCTCACTTTAGGAAGAATTTGAAATTACAAATGATAAATTTTATAAGAATAAGCAAAATGTAAATTCTTCAGTCAACATAATTTAAAAGTCCAAGAATTGAGTTATGCAAATCAAATCATCCTGCCAAGCCCTACTTTATCATCAGCCCTGTTTTTTTTTCTTTACAACCTTTAGTAGTAAATATTAATGTGTTGAAAACTCAAAAAAGTAAACAGTTTTTCACAAAGCCACATATCTTTATTTATCTAAAGGAAATAAATTATTATTAACCTATATCTATGAAGATTTAGGAAAACATATAAATAATCCAAATGTCTATCAATAGGGGTGGGTTAAGCATGTTATGGTGCACAGAACTTTGAAAATGATTAGATCAACATATATTGATGTGGAAATATGTCCACAACACATTGTTAAGTAAACAAAGCAAATATAAAACAGTATGTAGAGTATGGAAAAAACAAACGGAACAAAACAAAAAGCCAAAACAGGCCGGGTGCAGTGGCTCACCCCTGTAATCCTAGCACTCTGGGAGGCCGATGCAGGCGGATTGCTCAAGGTCAGGAGTTCGAAACCAGCCTGAGCAAGAGCGAGACCCTCGTCTCTACTATAAATAGAAAGAAATTAATTGGCCAACTAGTATATACACAAAAAGTTAGCCGGGCATGGTGGCGCGTGCCTGTAGTCCCAGCTACTTGGGAGGCTGAGGCAGGAGGACTGCTTGAGCCCAGGAGTTTGAGGTTGCTGTGAGCTAGGCAGACGCCATGGCACTCACTCTAGCCTGGGCAACAAAGTGAGACTCTGTCTCAAAAAAAAAACAAAACAAAAACAAAACAAACAAAATAAACTTAAAACTTTGAGATAGCCAAAGCAGTTGAACATGTCTATTTGCCTCTAATTCCTTCTGAAACCCTATTAAAATTGCAGGGAAAGGGGGGAAAAGGCATAAACCCATAAAGACAAAGAAAAGGGGAGAGAAGACAATAACATCCCAATTTATTATAATTATGTTTTTAAAAGGTAAATGTGTATTTTTTTTTAAATTTCAGAATGTCACAGGGGTACAAATGTTTAGGCTACATATATTGCCTTTGCCTCACCCAGTAAGACCTACAAGCATGTCCATTCCCCTGACCGTCTGCACTGCACCCATTAGGTGTGAATATACCCATCCCCTCCTTTCCCCTCCCACCTGCCCTATACCTGATGAATGTTATTACAATACGTGCACGTAAGTGTTGATCAATTATTACCAACCTGATGGGGAGTACATGTGGTGCTTGTTTTTCCATTCTTGTGATACTTCACTTAGTAAAATGGGCTCCAGCTTCATTCAGGATAATACAAGAGGTAGCGGATCCCCATTGTTTTTTTTTTTTTTTTTTTTGAGGACTATTCATTGCAACCCCATTGTTTTTTGTGGCTTAATAGTACTCCATAGTATACATATATCACATTTTATGAATCCACTCATATATTGATGGGCACTTGGGTTGTTCCCACATCTTTGCAATTGTGAATTGTAGCATCCCAATATTTAAAGCCAAAAAGCTGGTTAATGGGTGTAGGTCTGTGGACCCAGTGGAGTAGCTGATGTGGAAACCTAAGCATGCAGCCCAGAAACAGGCTGATTTATCCACCAGAGCTCAAAAAATGCTCACAGAACTGGACATGCTTGAAAAGTGGGAGTGCAAGTAGGATGAATATGGAGAATGGATGAATCTATATGAAAAATGAGAAGAACTCAGGTATCCTAAGAAATCAAAAGCCACTTGAAATTTTTAAAGGCTAGTTTCCCTTCCACATAAAACCATGAAGCTTTTACAAAATGTTGAGGATAGAACACACTGTTCATATATATGTGTATATGTTATGCTTATTATCATGTGATGAATTATGAGGCATATTAAAAATGAACTGTAATGAACTGATTAGAACATTCCCAGATTTCATTCTGCTACTCTGTTGTTTTTCTTTCTAATTTTAGCACTTGTTTAGTTTTGCTTGTTTTTGAACACTTAAAAATTGTGCTGGGAGGCCGAGGTGGGTGGATTGCTTAAGGTCAGGAGTTTGAAACCAGCCTGAGCAAGAGCGAAACCCTGTCTCTACTAAAAATAGAAAGAAATTAATTGGCCAACTACAAATATATAGAAAAAATTAGCCAGGCACGGTGGCACATGCCTGTAGTCCCAGTACTCGGGAGGCTGAGGCAGAAGGATTGCTTGAGCTCAGGAGTTTGAGGTTGCTGTGAGCTAGACTGACGCCACAGCACTCTAGCCAGAGCAACACAGTGAGACTCTGTCTCAAAAAAAAAATTTTTTTTTTTTGCTACACAAAGACTTGTAAATGAATGTTCATTGCAACATTAATCATAATAGTCCCAAATTGGAAACAACCCAAATTTCATCAAATGATGGATTTTTAAAAAGTGGTATATTCATACAATGGAATATTATATGACAATAAAACAGAATAAACTGACACATGCTATGACATAGATGAATCTTGAAAACATTATGCTAAGTGAAAGAAGACTCACAAAAGACTACATATTATATAATTCCATTTATTTGAAATGTCCATGATAAGCAAATGCATACAGACAGAAAGTAGATTCGGGTTACTAGAGGCTGGGGAGAGAAGGGCATGAGGAATGACTGCTAATAGGCATGGGGCTTATTTATGGGGTGATGACAATGTTCTAAAATTAAATAGCTGCACAACTTGGCACTAAAACCACCAAACAATATACTTTATTTTTTCTTTTTTCAACACAGCCCAAACCTAACTATATTTTAAATGAGTGAATTTTATGGTATGTGAATGGTATCATGTAAAGGTATCAAAAAAAGGAATTATATTGAAGGTATTCTTCTGTGATGTCTTTTTTAAAAAATTCAACATCATGTTTCTAAGATTTATCTAACATTTATGCATCTTATAATAGTGCATTCATTTTTAATGTTGTTGAGTATTTCATTTGTTTACCCGTTATATTGTGAATGGATGTCTTAGTTGATTCTGACTTTTGCTACTATAAACAATGCTAATATAAATATATTTATACATCTTTCCTGATGCATATGAGCAAGAATTTCTCCAGGATATATGCCAGTTTAAAGGGTATGTATTTGTTTAACTTTAAAAAATAATGCCAAAAGAGTTTCTCAAGTGCTTGTACCATTTTGGTTTTACATGCCCACCAGCTCTGAGTTGGAATTCTCTTTGTTGTACAACTTCTTCTGTACTTGGTATTGTCAGCCTTTAAGTTCCTGTCATCCAAGTGTATATGAAGTGACATCTTATTGGGATCTTCATTTGCATTTCCAATTACTGATGAGAATGAACCTCATTTCATTTTTTTTTTTTTACCATTCTTGGTTTTTTTCTACATAATGTTTCTGAATATCTTTTGACCATTTTTCTACTTATTTTTTCTTTTATGTGTGTGCACACATATTTGTGTCCATATATACACACATATATTAGCATATACACTATATTTTGTTTTGAATATTAAACATTTGTTTTTCACATTGGTTGCAAGTATACTTTCAGTTTATATCTTATCTTTTCATTTTCTTTATGCTATCTTTTTTTTTTTTTGAGACAGAGTCTCGCTTTGTTGCCCGGGCTAGAGTGAGTGCCGTGGCGTCAGCCTAGCTCACAGCAACCTCAAACTCCTGGGCTCAAGTGATCCTTCTGCCTCAGCCTCCCGGGTAGCTGGGACTACAGGCATGCGCCACCATGCCCGGCTAATTTATATATATATATATCAGTTGGCCAATTAATTTCTTTCTATTTATAGTAGAGACGGGGTCTCGCTCAGGCTGGTTTTGAACTCCTGACCTCGAGCAATCCGCCCGCCTCGGCCTCCCAAGAGCTAGGATTACAGGCGTGAGCCACAGCGCCCGGCCTATGCTATCTTTTATGAGTAAAAATTCTAAGTATAATGTAGTCCGATTTATGCTTTTTCCATTATGATTGCTCATTGGTTCTGTTTGAAGAAGTACTTCTGTAGAGGAGGTGAAGGGGAGACAAAAAAAAAAAAAAGTACTTCTCAGCTGGGCATGGTGGCTCATGCCTGTAATCCTAGCACACTTTGGGAGGCCAACCTGGGAGGATTGTTTGAGCCCAGAAATTCAAGACCAGCCTGAGCAACAAAGTGAGACCCTGTGTCTACAAAAAACAGAAAAATTAGCAGAGTGGTGGTATGCACCTGTAGTTCCCGCTACTCAGGAAGGGAGGCTGAGGCGGGAGTGGCAGTTGAGCCCAGGAGTTTGAGGCTGCAGCGAGTGATGATGATACAGGCATGCTTGAAAATAATGCATTCTGTACTTGACGGGTGGTTGTTCATTCTTCGGTATCCCTATTGATTTCTGTTTGTTTGTTTACTTCTACTAATTACTCAGAGGTGTTAAAATCTCCCACAATGATTCTGAATATATCTATTCCCCTTATAGTCCTGTGGACTTTACATTATCCTGGTGAGTTTAAAGTTTTATCAACTTTATCTTTATCCCTAGTAATGCTTCTTACCTTAAGATCTCTTTTGTCTCATATTACTCTATGTATACCATTCTTCTTTTAAGCAAATAACTAAATTGTATTTTAACTTAACATCATAATTAAGTGCAGCATATTTACCTCATCATCCCTTAATAAACCTAAGTTAACTTTGCCAATGAAGCATTTTCCTTCATATTCTTATCAAATTTTCTCAAAAATTTATAACAATCTACTTCTGATCCTGCCATAGTCCTTAAATGTTATTTTAAAAATGTATATTGTAGTTGATATGGTACCAAAATTTAGTTTAACTTCAAAATTCATACTACTGCCTAAAAATTATATCATCTTTTTTTTTTTTTTTTCCAGAGATAGTCTTGCTTTGTCGCCCTGGCTAGAGTACAGTGGCATCATGGTAGTTCACTACAACCTCAAACTGCTGGGCTCAAGTGATCCTCTCGCCTCAGCCTCCCAAGTAGCTGTGACTATAGGCATGCACCATCATGCCCGGCTAATTTTTCTATTTTTTGTAGAGACAAAGTCATACGCTTGTTAAGGCTGGTCTCAAACTCCTGAGCTCAAGCGATCCTCCAGCCTTGGCCTCCCAGAGTGCTAGGATTACAGGCCTGAGGCACTGCGCCCAGCCCAACTGTGTATTTTTAAAATCCAGTATAAAACTGTCATTTTAACTGGAGTACTTAGTCCATTTATATATGATGACCAAATCGTTAAATAGCAGTCACTATAACTTAACAAAACTTAAAGCGAATTTTATTCCAAGCCAAGCTTGGGGACTAACAGCCAGAGAAACACAGACTCAGTG